TGTGGAAGGAAGAGAAAGAAGAAGAAGAGGGAAGAGAGTGAGAAAAGAAAGCAGAGAGACAGGAGAGGAACCAGGGCCTGGAGCCAGTGTGGTTCTGGCCCCACCTGCAGCCGTTCCTTAGCCTACATTCCCCAGGTCTTTCTGGGTCCTTATAACAGCAGCAGCTCCCCAAACTCTTCCCAGACCTCTTCTTTTACTTGAATTACTCCCAGTGGATTCCAACCATCCAAAAAGAGGCCTCTGTGGACATCTTGCTGGCCTTAAAGCAGAGACTGAGGGGTAGAAGAGGCACACATCTCTCCTTTATGCAAAAGGAGACACTTCCCAAGAAAAGCCAGCTGCCAACTCCTGAAGATGGACCAAAGGCCCGCAGCCTAGGTCTGCGGTGAACAGTGAATAGGCCATCTGGTTCCTGTCCTGGACAAAACATTCACAGTAGACAGACTCAAGATTAGGATTCCCAGACTAAATGTCTGGAAAAGAATATACTAGGTTACGCGTGTATTGCCATCGAATCCCAGAAAAGGGTGGTGCTCCCTGACGTACAACAAGGGTGCAAGTTCAGGCAAATATTCGTCTTTATTATGTAAAGACTAATAAGGTCTGCGAACTTATTAACACCAAGCATGGTCTGAAAGTAGAACGTACCTTCCGAGAGGATTTATGTAATTTCACGGATGAGAAAATGCCAATGGGCGACTAAAGGACAAAAATGTTTCAAGCATAATTTTAACCTTTGATGTTCATGTGACAATTAGGTGATTTCACCTCAGGTCTCTTGTTGCCACTTGTCAGAGTTCTACAGAAATCTGGCGAAAGTGAACCACACTACCTACTCCAGGTGAAGGTGTCACAGGAGTCTCTTGTACCGAGCTACTCCCCAGCCCCCAAGTTCTAAAGGAACCCAAAAAGGCAACCTTCGGCTCAGATCTTGTTCCTGAATTTCAGATCCGAATATCCTGAACCTTTCCCACCTGGTGTGCTGCAGCCACTGCCAACTCGACAGGTCAAAAGGGAAACCCTCGCCGTACCTGACCAGGATCCCCCGTCTGCTCCTCAGCTTGGTGACTGGCCTCACGCTCCCAGCCAGTCCCTGCACCAGAATCGCACTGTCATTCTGCCCCCAACCCCTGCCGACACACACACTGAATCAGTCACACAGTCCTGTGGATTCTGCCTCTGTAATGTCAAATTGGTCTCTTCCTCTCTAGGCCCTGATCCTCCCTCACCTGGATTACGCCAGGATTAATCAGCATCTTAATACACCTCCCTGCAGCTCAAAAGGTGATGCAATTTGTCTAGGATTTCTCCAAGCAAGAAACAGTGCTCAGACTGACTACAAAACAATTTGTATGGCTCAATGCTGTTTTTGAAAAATTCTTTAACTATGCAAAGCAATGCTATGCATATGGACAATGTTTGCACACATGAGCACTGTAGTTAAAGTATAAAAGCATGCACGGGGATGATACACACCAACTTCCAGAAACTGACTGAGGAGAGAGGGAGGGTTTGGGGAGGTGGATGGAGCTTTAGCAATGTGTATATTTCTCTGCTAAAAAATAATGAAACATATTAGTATCTATAAATCTGGGTGATGGGTATATTGATGTCTTATTTTTTAGACTTCTGTATATCTGATATATTTCAGTTAAAATACAAAAATTTAAAATATATGCAATCAAAAAATGAAAACCAGTCTAAGACTCTGAGGCTTGCACCACTGCCGTCACGCCAGAGGGCTCAGCTCTTGCCATCAAGGTGTTCAAAGGCTCCCCTTCTCTCTTTAGTGTACACTCTTACCTTTGTGTTTAAGAAACAGAGTACTCGGGTTTCTTGAATGGAGGATGTCCCTGTGTGCCTTTCCCCAACCCATGGGATGGACCAAACTGGGCAGGGGTACAGTATAGGGATGGGGACGTTTTCCAGCACAGACCCCCCCTCCCAAACCCTTCCCTGATTTTGGGCATCCGAGCCCAGGGTGAAGGTGACACCATTGACCTGAGTGTCCCACTGATCCAAAAACTGGATCAAGATCACTCCCTAAAAAGCTTTCCTTCTTTCTCTGACTTAAGAGGCAAAGGTCAAAGAAAATTATCTACTCCAAAAACTCTATCACCTACAAATCTCTTGAGACACAGTCAAAAGGGACTTGCACTGTCACATCACAGCATGCAACCACCCATCTCCCAAACGTTCCAGCTGAGCAACCTGCAGCCCCTAATGCTTGCAGTCTCTAGTTCAATTTAAATTCCCATTAAAAACAACTGATCTAACTGATTAAAATTTAAATCCACCTAAGCTCTCAGAGGGGGAGGAGATGCAAAGGAGAGCACCAGCTAGAGTCAACCAGTAGCGCTGTCAGCGTGTCTTCAGTTGTCTACAGCTATAGCTGGAGGCAAGTACATGGGCAAACCTGGTCGTAAGATATTTAGAGCTTGGGTAGAAACCTTTAGGAAAACAATTCAATCTAAGCAATATTCATGTGAGTCCACAGCAGGCGGTGGTAGAATACAGATCTGCAAAACCAGAAGCTCTTTCCCTAACTTCTTTTTAAATTTTTACTGATACATAATAGTAGTCCATTTTTATGGGGTACATGTGATATTTTGTTACACACATACAATGCGTAATGATCAAGTCAGGATATTTAGGATATCATCACTTTGAGTATTTATCATTTCTGTGTGTTGGGAACATTTCAATTCCTCTCTTCTAGGTATTTGGAAATGCACAATATGTTGTTGTTAACTATAGTCACCCTACTCTGCTATCAAATATTGGAGCTTATTGCTTCTATCTAACTGTACGTTTGTGGCAACTGACCAACCTCTCTTCTTCCCTGCCTCCACCCTTCCCAGCCTCTGGCATCTATGACTCTACTCTCTACCTCCATGCGATCCACTTTTTTAGCTCTTACATATGAGTGAGAACATGTGGTATTTGTCTTTCTGTGCCTGGCTTATTTCATTTAACATAATAACCTCCAGTTCCATCATGTTGCCGCAAATGACCAGATTTTATTCTTTTTTATGCCCAAATGGTATTCCATTGTGT